TTCCAAGATGCATTATGAATATGATGTATGAAGGTACGTTTAAAAAATGATACTTAAAGAAATCTAGAGAATGAAGTGCCTTGAAGTTTATTAATCTGGTTTTTATCTGTTAATCTACTAATACCTCCAGACAGCATTGCCTTTGTATCCAGCCAACTGCAGCTGGCTGCAGTTCTCTTCCGAAAGCACCATCTTAACATTAACTGTCAAAGCTTTTTCAGGTTACTGGCTGAAAAAAATAGGAATTGTCTGGGTTCTTGAGTTCTGGACTTTCTGGAAGGGGTTACTAGATCCTCTGCAGTCTCTGCACTCAAGTCTGCAAGTCTGAATTCTGCTTGACTGCAAAGCGTTTCTGGTATCTGCCAGCATTCTGCTAGGCCCACTGCGTTCCCATCCACTGCCTGTTCTTATCATGCAATGGCAAATGGGATGGAAGATAATGAACCATCTGCTTAGTGGTGTAAAGTGCTTAGTCTTAGCAGCATTGTTTGGAAGGAATACTGTGACTGAACAGCAAAATTAGCTCTGTTAGTTAGAGGTCAGGTGCTTTCCCACTCCAGATCAACTGCAGAGAGCCACAGCCTGGCTGGCACAGTCGGGAAGTGTCAGTAGTGTGACTGGCCAGCGGGTACCCACTATGGAGCCCAGAAACACTGTCCGTGCCAGACTGCACTAGCAACATTACAAATTGGCTCCCCTTGGGCTCGAGGCAGCACTACTAGAGTGGAAATGGTCACTAGGCACTTTCCTGGAGCAACAAACAAGGTTATTCAGCTTTTTCTAGCCTCCTTTTCGTTACTTTCAACACAAAATGTTTCACGTGGTCTTGATCAGGATCAGAGTCTCTTCTGAATGTAGTGTCCTGCAAGGTCTCTCCAAGACCAGTCAGCTAGATGGACTGAATTCCCTGAATCAAGCCAGAAAAGGAAGCGTTTGCTCTTTGAGTAAAGCTAGGGCTTGTGGAAAGCAAAGATGCCTGTGGATGCAGCAGCCACACCTGTTAAAAATAAGGCTGTCCTGAACAGTAACCATGATGACAGCCAGAGTGAGTATGTTTGGAAAGCTGTTTGGCAAAGAGGAGTCCTAACTCCCAGCCCTGTGCCTTCCCAGGCACTGC